AAAGAAGAATGTAGAAGCCAATGAACCAAGTCTAATAAACACATTTGCACGCAACACTCATCAGATAAGAGAAAACAAGGGCTAGCCAAATAGCTCAGCGGATTAAAGCACCTGCAAGCAGGTGCAGGCGTCAGATGTTCAATCCCCAGGCCTGCCCTGCCAGCCCCACCCCCAGGAGCTCACTGACACAGCAGTTGACACTGAGCGTGGTGGCGCGCACCTATAATCCCAGCTCTTAGGGGGCTGTAAACAGGCTGATCGCTGAGTCCAATCCAGCAGCGAAAGCCTGAACACCCTGTAGACCCTTCCCTAAAAAAAAAAGAGAGAGAGAGAAAACTCCCCGACCTCAATACCTCCCCACCCACAAGACCTCCCTGACTGTATAGTTGAGGCTTTGGAAAATGTGTGTCCACACATTTACAGACAGACGCACACCTGCGGACTTGGACAGCAGCTGGAGCGTGACTGTTCCCGGCCTTCCGATACTGTATTTTGTCGGACATCGTGATATGTTTTTGTCTGTCATTCCAGCACTGGGGAGGCTGAGGCAGGAGGATTGCCACGAGTTCAGGGCCAACCTCAGCTAGGTAGCAAGACTCTATCTCAAAAAAATAAATAAATAGATAAAAATAAAGAGACAATGGAAGAAGCCCACAGTTTAAGCAAGTGACGTCTTTGTAAAAACTCTGATTTTTCTCTTCAGGCTGATGTAGAACCAAGCAGGCAGTTGTGACAGAAGTTAGTCACACTGCTTGGGGACACCTGTGCCACTGGCCTAGGTGGCACGAACCAATCTCGCCCAGTCCTCAGCGGCCTGCAGGACAGGCCCCCCGAAGGGGCCTTGCTGACAGCCACGGGGGCCTGTGTCACATTCCGAGGTCCCCGCCACCCTCTCCCTTTCTGTCACAGAGCTGGGTTCGGGTGGGATGGAGGACTCCTGGAGGACGCTTACTGTCACCCTCCTGGGAGCCCGGCGGTCCCGTATCTTTGTGACCCCACATCCTTCCGCTAGGAACCCTTCTTTTATCTGCATTATTCTGAGAGACTCAGCTAAAGGTGATGATAGAAAGACATTTGGACACGGACGAAATTCTGCCTTGTGCTGACCTAATAGGACAAACCCCTGTTCCCGATACATCGGGAACCATTTCTGGCGCTCATTAGAGTAGTATACCTCGATCAGGTAACAGACCCTCTATTTGAATGGAGTACGCAATTTTTATTTTTATTTTTTTATTTTTTGCGGAACCGGGGATTGAACTCAGGCCCTTGCACTTGCCAGGCAAGCGCTTATTCTACTGAGCCACCTCCCCAGCCCCAAATACATAAATATTAATGTGTTGCCTTAAAGTACTAAGTTACACAAATGCCTGTTGCTTCTTCCTGATTTTAATATCACCCTTTGCACTTGAGGCTCTCCTGCCTCAGCCTCCCCAGGGCTGCGATTGCAGGCCTGCACAACGCCTGCCTGAGTTCCACACCTTCTACTCAGAATCAAGTGACTCTCTGTGGATCTGTCTTTGTGGATTCGGGCACCCAAGACTCCACCCGCCTTGTTCCCCCACAGCGTGGCAGCCTCGGGCTCACTGGCTGAGGTGACAACAAAAAAGGGACCTGTGCAGCCAGCGTGCTGGTGCATGCCTGTCACCCCAGCACTGGGGAGGCTGAGGCAGGAGGATCCCTGTGAGCTCAAGGCCAGCCTGGGATGCATAGCTAGACCCTGCCTCAAAAAGAAAAAGTTCCTGTTAAAAACAAATAAACAGGGCCAGGGAGATAGCTCGGCCGCATAAACATCTGCCTGGACAAGCTCAAGGTCCTGAGTTCAAAGCCTGCTCCAAGGAGGCTGCGACAGGAGGATCACTGAGTCGGAGCTGTGTAATGATACCCTGTACCAAATAAATAAGTAAACTGGGTCGGGGATACAGCACAGTGGCACAAGCACCTGCCTGGCAGGTGCCAAGTCCTGCGTTCGATTCCCACTACAAAAATAAATAAATAAATAAAAATAAAATAAAATAAAAAATAAGAAGAATAAATAAAAAGGCGAACCCGGGCTTGGGCCGCAAACTTCTCCTGGCTCTGCCTTTGTTTGCTCGGCTGTGGTGGCGGCGGCGGCGGCGGCTGCGTGCTCGGGGTTGCGGTGGGCGGGGAGAGAAAGGCTCACGCTGATAATGTACTGAAAGTAAATGAAATTAAATAAGCGGAGCAGCGCGCCCCTCCCCCTCCCCCTGGGTGATTCAATTCGCGCCGGCACCGCGCAGGGGCCGCCTCCGTCCCCCGCCGGGCCGGGAGTCTCCGCGTCGGAACACGAGCTTCGCTCAAGCGTTTTTACGCGCTGCCAGCGGGACCAGCGAGCCGGGGTGGGCGCGTTAATGTCACATCCATCCCGAAGCGCTCCCCGCGCGCTCGCGGCCGGCGTCGGCCCATTTTCATAATTATAGATGTTCCATAAAATGGCATTTAGATTTGCATTAAAAAGGAGGTTTGAATTCTAATAGAACGTTTAACGCGGCTTTTATGATTCATACTCTTGGCGTCTTTACCGCGAGGCTGTCTCCAAGTTGAACAAGATCTTTAAAACGAAGAGGAGCCGGGTGTGGCTGTGCTTGCCTGTAATCCCGGCACTGGGGAGGCTGAGGCAGGAGGATTGCTATGAGTTCAAGGTCAGCCTGGGCTACACATTGAGTTTAAGGCCAGCCTGAGCTACAGAGGGAGAACCTGTCTCAAAAAAATTTAAAGAGAAGAAAAAGGGGGAAAACAACTGGTGGGGAACAGCTAAAACCTCCGAACTTGGCTGATCCTGTGTTGTTTTTCGCCTGTGGCTTTCATTTAAATTTGAGGCTTCTATGGGAGCTTTATGGACAACATTTCTTTTTTGTTCTTGTTTTTTGAGACAGGGTCTCCCTGTGTAATTCAGGCTTTGAACTCACTGTGTAGCCCAGGCTGGCCTCGAGCTTGTAGCCATCCTCCTGCCTCAGCCTCCCGAGTACTGGGATCACAGGAGATCGCCAGCACACCCAGCCCAGACAGCATTTTCTGACTGGGCTTCTTATTCCACTGAGCCATCTCCCTGCCCTCTTAATTTACATTTGAAAGTGTCTTAAAATGTGATCTTTTTTTTTTTTTTTTTTTTTTTTTCAGAACTGGGGATTGAACTCAGGCCCTTGCACTTGCCAGGGAAGTGCTTATTCCACTGAGCCATCTCCCTGGCCCTAAATGTGATCTTTTAAATAAAAGTAAAGTGCTGAGCAAAAAGTACCTCTGAATAAATGTGGATGTGCTAAAAACTAATTGCTTGATTAGCTACGTGTGGTGGTGGCACAAGCCTGTCATCCCAGCACTCTAGAGGCTGAGGCAGGAGAATCTCTTTGCGTTTGAGGCCAGCCTGGTCTACAAAGAGAGTTCAACTCCAGTCCTGCCTCAGCCTCCCTAGTTTTTATTTTTTGAGACAAGGCTTCACTGTGTAGCCCAAGCTGGCCTTGAACTTGCCTGGATCCTCTCGCCTCGGCCTCCCTCCCGAGTGCTGCCCTTACCGCACACGCCATGACGCCCAACACTGCTTCATCTTAATTTTGACTCGGAGGGGAGAGGGGTGGGCCACGCTGTCATCTTAATTTTGAGAGTAAACACGTTCCTTGGTCTTTTGCTCTTCTTTCTCTTCTGTAAAGTCTAAAATTTCTCAATAAATTTGTGGGGAGAGGATTGCTTTTGTTTTTCAGTATTTTGGTTTTGTTCTCCTGACACTTGTTTTTGTTGTTGCTATTGTTGGTTGGTTAGTGGGTTGGTTGGTTTTTTGAGACAGGGTTTGAGAACCTCCTATGTAGTTCAGGCCAGCCTTGAATTCACTGCCAGGCTGACCTCTAGTGCACCAAAACCCTCCTGCCTCAGCCTCCCTAGGGCTGGAGTTACAGGAGTGCAACACCATCCCTGGCTATTGATTTCTCAATAAACACGTACAGAAGGAGGCTAATGAAACCAGGAATGTCTGCAGCACCCAGAAGATAACAGTTCCAGGGCCTGTCTGCGCTAAGGCTACACATCTAAGACTCCCATACTTTGAATTTCTTTTTATTTTTATTTTTATTTTTTATTTATTTGTGTGTGTGTGTGTGTGTGTGTGTGTGTGGCCAGCTCAGCCCACCAGGGGGCGGGGCCGGCTGGCATGTGGTGCTGGAGGATTGAACCGCGGTCCCTGTGCTTTGCTAAGCTTGTTCTAAGTAGGTGCTTTAGACCACTGAGCCATCTCACCAGCCCAAACTCCCATACTTTGAAGAAATTCAGAGCTGGCAATGACTGCCAGGTCGACCTTGCATAGTGAACTTAAAAAGGGTAGCGAGGCCTGCAGGTGGTGGTGCATATCTGCCATCTCAGCACTCAGGAAGCTGAAGCAGGGTCGTTTTGAGTTCAAGGCTAGCCTGGGCTACGTAGCGAGACTCTGTGCCAAAAAATAAAACAAAATAATTCTTAATTCCTTGGAGTCCTTTTCCTGCCCATCAGTACATAGATCAGCCACCTCCCCCTTGCCACAAATGAATGTATGTGTAAACCATTTTAAGGAACTGGGCTGGGGAGATAGCTCGGCAGCCTAAGCGCCTGCCTGGCCAGTGCAAGGACCGGGATTCGACCCCCAGTGCCACATGCTGCGCAGGCTCCACGCCGTGCCGGCCACCAAAACCATGCGTGGTGGTGCACGCCTGTAATCCCAGCCCTGGGGAGGCTGAGGCAAGAGGATCACTATGAGTCCCAGCTGCATAGGGAGACCCTGTACCAAATAAATACATCTTTAAAATGCATTTTTTTTTAAATTAAGTGACTTTAGCACTCACTATAAAAAGGAAATTCATTTTTCCCCATCTCACAGCGACTGTTTGCAGAATCCAGCTGAGCTGGGTGGGCGCTGGGTGTGGGCGGAGGGAAACCCCCAACTCCCCCACCCCCCACCCGCACCCACTCCGGGCACCCCAGGCGCCTCCAACACAGGGCTGCTGTTCTCCTTTCAGGTGCAGACGGCCTCCTGCGGGGCGCACCCGCGCCGGACAGCGTCCTCAAGCAGGGCTACCTGGAGAAGAAGAGCAAAGGTACCGCGCGGGAAGGAGCCAGGGCTTCTCCATCCGGGAACTGCGCTAGGCCGGAGGGGCGGCGTGGGTCAGGCAGCAGCCCAGGGTCAGAGCTGGCGGGATGGGGCCGCCCCAGACCCCAGGCCTGCAGTGAAACTGGCGCTGGCACCGTGGTGGGGGCGCGCGTCTGGGACACCAGCACCCCCAGGCTGGGGCAGGAGGGTCACCAGGAGTTCGAGGCCAGCCTGGGCTGTCTCACCAAACCCCTGTCTCAAAAATGCAGAAAGAAGGTGATGCTCAATAAAATCTCTTGGGTGACGAAGGGTACGCCTGTTCCTCGTCTCTGGGTGCACTGCCTGAGGTGCCAAAGTGCCTTGCCAAGGGTATGGTTTTTGTATCCTTTGCGAAGTGGCCCATTTTGAAACTTCAAACAAGGCCAGGCGTGGCAGCTCACACCTGTCATCCCAGCACCCAGGTGGCTGAGGCAGGAGGATCCCTGGAAGTTCGAGGCCAGCCGGGGCTACACAGTGAAACTCTGATTCAGAAAACACAAAACAAAGCCAAAGCCAAAGCACACACAGATACATGTGTGTGTATCCAAGGCCTGGAATATTACTTTACTTGCTCAAAAACCACACTTAAAGATACCAGAGTGCCTGCCACGGAGCAGTATTCCTGTCAGCCCAGGAACTTGGCTTGTCTTTTTTTTTTTTTTTTTAAACAGGATCCCGCTGTGAAGTGCAGGCTGGCCTTGAGCTCATCTTGTAACCCAGGCTGGTCTTGGTCTTGCACTCTCAGAGATCCTCCTGCCTCAGCCTCCCAAATTCTGGAATTACAGGCATTCACCACTACACCCAGCTCATCCCAGAAAGTTCGGATGCTGAAGC